GGAGCCGTGAAGGAAAGGCATTAATATTCAAAACACAGGCGTGCTGATGCCTTCTGGATGTCCGAGATAACCGGACCAATAAAAGTTGTGAGTATAACTGCTGTCTTAAGCAATGAACTCAAGGGGGAGGTCATATGGGAAGTGTGTAGGACACTTTTATCATTTAGGGACATCATTTGGGGGATTTTAAACCATCTATAAAAGCAACACTCTGAAATCACCCACATTATCAAAAGTCTCAAGGAGATCTACAAAGAAGGCAGTCAAGTTTTTCTTCACGAGGATTACAGCAGTTATTGCGCGATGAACAGACTGAACAGAACACCAAGATGCTATTAAGGATTCTTCTCTGGATGTACTGCACAAAGGTCTTAAGCCACCTGTCATGTATTCATATTTTGCTTCCAAGTAGCCAGACTTTCTTGTTATTTTTAAAGTGGTCCTGTGCAAAAGTTCTCTAAGTTTTCTGAAGTTCTTTCAAAGTTTTTCTTTTCTTTTTATTTTACTCGTTTTTAGTCCCGAGGTCTGCTTTGTTAAGCCACTTAACACTGACTGTGACTCACTCAAGAATAAAAAAGCCTCCTAACTCAAGGGATGAACCAGTGTTTTGTCTGCACATAACAGACAACTTATTAAGGAACCAACTTTAAATTGTATCTTTAGGCACTTTGCTACAAGCAGCCTGTCAGAAAACACATTTGTTCCCATTTATTTCGTTAAATCTACAAAAAAAATGCCAATGCTGACATTGTTTGACAGGCATAAAAAAAAAAAATAGTATTTTTGCACCAGCAACATGATTCCTAAAGAGCTTTTAGCTCCAAACTAGTAATATCTTAAGACATTTTGAGGAAACTGGACAAGTGCAGGACAAAAGCAGAATTGGCAGGACTAACAAACTAGAGCATATGAATAATATTAGAGAGTCGTGTCCTTAAGAAAACTCTTAAGTTCAAAGTTTTACACAGAATACTGACCAAAGCGGAGCCAGGGGGAAAGCTGGCTCAGGGCGGGAGCGTTCGGGTCGTTGCGTTGGCTGCCAAACAGTTTAAGTCGTACATCAATGAAGGACTCCAGCATGTCCATCCCTGCTTTGGTGCCCGGCTTGGCCCATTCTGGCTCTTTTACATTTCTGTCAACATCCAGGGAGGCTAGGGTTTTGTCCCAGTCTACTCCCTGTGAGGTAAAGAAGCGAGAAAGGAGAAAAGATCAGTCACTGCTGAGAGGGATGAGTTTAAATATATACAGTGGTGCTACAGAGATCTGACAACTTCAAAAGCAAAGGAGAAAGTTTTTTTTTTT